AAAAAAAAAAAAAAAAAAAAAAAAAAAAAAAAAAAAAAAAAAAAAAAACAAAACAAAAGAAGATAAGAACAACTTCTAGGGAGATTTTGTAGGAGGGGAACCTGAAAACTGCTGGACAATAATCTTTCCACTCAAAGTCAGTAAAGGAGCCTTGAGGAAGACGTATCTTATTCTTCTTGGCGTGTTGAATCCAATCATTTTTAGTGGTTTTGAAGTCCTGTGGTGAGACTTCCTCTCTCCCCATTGCCATGAACTTCCCTGCAACACAGAGACCTTATTCAAGAACAAACAATAGCAATAGCAGCCTAAATGATATCAAAACAAAAGGGCTTGGTCAAATTCAGGGATCGTGGTATTAACAACATTGTTCATATAACTTTGGCCATTTGTCCACGAACAGTATAAAGAATCTTTCCAAAACCTACAAAGATGGAAATCATCTGAAAATGATGTTCAAAATCAAAACCTTATTAATGTCCAAACTCCCTTGACTGATTCAGAAATCGTTGAATTTCCAGGTTGATTCCAACTAGAATCATTCAAAAACCAATGTCAGTATCTTAAGAACAAGTTAAATTTATAAACACATACAGGATAAACATGAGAAATGATTATATCAACCAACATATTCACATAGAACGAGTTCATATTTTGTTCATCATGCCATTGTCTTGTTGCAAACAAACCCAGATGGGATCACAAGCTCAAACACTTATCTGATATCTACACTATTCTATTGTCAACGGATTTCAAAGCCATTATACGCATCGTGGATTCTGGGTCACGTTATGGGAAATCAATGGAGAGGATGCGAGGTTGTTTTCTCAAAATGTAGGTCACCATAACCAGAAAAGCTGAGAGGGTGTGTTCATTGCTGCACAAAACTGCTCTGTTGTACTCAAATGGCACAGAAACAGAGCCCCCCCAGATAAAATTACTAACAGATGTAAACAAAAAACGTCCAGTTTATTAGGGTCTCGAAAACCCAGATCGCCCCACAAACAAGAATATGTGAAAGATGCATTTTCTAATCGAAAAGGGCAAAAGAAGAAACCTAAATGATTTCCCCACATCAATCAACCAAACCCATTTGCAAAAATCAACCAATCCAATCCTGGAAGAATCAGAGGAACAAAAGCAGCAAGTAGGCGATAAACGAAGACGAAGACAAAAGGGATAAAGGGAAAAAGGGGAAAAAAGTGGTATAAATTTCGCAGAGACAGAATGACGAAAAGGGTCGAACCCATTACCTTTGTCAGGGGAAGAATCAGTTGATGAGGGGAGAAATTGAGGCAGCCATGGAAGAAAGAGATAGAGAAGAAGAAAAGGGAGAGGGAGATGAATAATTATGGTTTTGGGATTGAAGGGCGTGCTAGAAATGGAGGTTAGAGACGATTGAATTGCAGGGGAAATACAGTCTTGGCGCCATATTTAATCGCGGGGTATTCCAACCAACGCCCTATTTTTGGCAAATGTCCACTAATCAAAAGCTCCATTGCCAACCCAAGTGCCCTCTTTTACTACATTATTAGTTAAAATGACATGTTTACGTGACCAAATATGTTAGAAACCGATGAATTTATTTCATTGGATCGCATAGGTTGTTAGAAATTGATTTATGGTGTGATATATTTAGCACGTCCTGTTCTAGACTTTGTAAAGGTCGATCATAAGGAACAACGCAAGCAAGCAAGCGATCAACATTGAGTCCACCTATTAAACCCAAAAGCTTAAATTGTAGATAGAGCACGTCCTGTTCTAGACTTTGTAAAGGTCGATCACAAGAAACAACGCAAGCAAGCAAGCGATCAACATTGAGTACCCATTAAACCCAAAAGCTTAAATGGTAGATAGAGCACTAAGTTCATGTTGCTGCCAGGACAGCCCACAAGTACAAACAGATAGATATGCATGTACAGAACAGCAGAGTTCTAGACAGAGCTCAAGATGAACAGAGAGTGATTCATTGAAGAAGTTCCAGGAATCACCAAATTTGAATCTGTTTTACTTGAGAGGTATTTTCCTATGTAAAGAATTATATTCTCATATTCATGAATATGAATGCAGCTTTTATCTGCAGTTACATGTATATACTTCTTCCATGGAATGTAGATTCTTCAGTGCAACAGAAAATTCAGAAGAGAAAGCAAATAAGAACCAAATCAACCAAAATTTTCAGCACACAAGCTGAAACAAATCAGGGATTGATCTCGAGCCTCGGTTCGAAGCAAAAGCCGGTGAAAAGCTGAAGCGGGAATCTCTTTGTCACGGGGCACTTCTGCGACCATCTCCATTGTTTTACGTTCATGTCGAAAATGAGTAAAGCTGGAGCTCCATAGCTATGGATGTAGATAAGGTCATCAGTGCCACAGCTGGAAAAAACATCATCCAACTCCCCAAATCCCTGGAAGAACTTGTGAGGCATGCGTGCAATTTCTTGCCACTCTTTCCCACAAAGAATCCAAATGCCAATCCCTTTAATAATGTCTGGCCTATCCTGTTTACCAATCCCTCCAACCATTACCAGCTTCTGCTTAAGGTTCATCAATCGACCACATGTGAGAGAACAAGGAGCAGGAATAAAGCTTTTAATCAACAAACCATGAGAAGAACGGTTAGAGATATTATAAGTAACGAGACCATGTCGATGATCAGACATCCCGCCCCCAGTTGAGTAGAGCAAGAAGTAAAGAACACCATCACAAATCACACTCTCGTCGCCACCTCTCCACTCCAACAACACTTCAGTCAAGGAGGTAGCCCACGTGTTCGTTTCTGAATCATAGATATGAATCGATATATCCCATTGAAAGAAGTTTCCAGGAACTTGCTTAGATTTCACAACAGAGATTGTATAATTGTGTGAAACCCTGTTAGCAGAGATTGCTAGTGCACTATAATCAGAGAACTTAGATCCTGAGGGCTCCGGTAGTTTCACTGAGTATTTGGTTATAGGATTGCAGACATGTAACTCGCTTCTACTGTCATTATCCATGAAGCAAACCAAGCCACGTGATGAGGCAATGAACCAATTCAACTTGTCGATGCAGGGGAGATCGATGGCATACCACTTCCTAAGAACTGGATCGTAGGCATGACCAATCGGCTCATCCGAGCTCGTAAACATGAAATACCAAGGTTTATGCGATTTGACATGTGAGAAGTTCCACAAAAAACTCCTGGAACTGACTATATCATGCCATCTTTTGCACACAGAGCCAGCTCGAAAAATGCTCGCTATTGGTAGACATGACAGAATTCGTTCCAACAAGTCATCAGGCAGGATCGACTCCACAGAAACTGCTACAGCCTCTATGCCTCCCTCATTTGTGAAGTCTGAGTACGAATCGAAATTTATAAGATCTCTTGCCATCTCATTGTGGAAAAGCTTGATCCATGACGTTTTTCCCGCCATAACGAAGAACTGATCACAGGACTCGAATTAGAAGAAGACGCAGCAGGAAGGAACCGATCCAATTGTTCTGAATTGAAACAAGCACATGTCATAAAGCATATTCTTCCAATAGACAGGGAGAAAAACACATTTCAGCTTAGTACAAATGACAAAGGGAAGTCAGAAACTAAAACATAGAGAGTACTACATAACACTACTCATCATTACACTTACAGTAACATAAATAAAAGTCACACCACCCTTCAATCATACGACACATCCTGTCTTCAAGAATGCCATGTGGGTTTGTAAGACAAGAAATGATCCTTTGCAGAACAACTTGGGACCATACATGTAACAGCCTATCAGCCTATCAGCCCAATCCCACCGCTAGCAGATATTGTCTTCTTTGAACTTTCCCTTCCGGGCTTCCCCTTAAAGTTTTAAAGCGCGTGTACTGGGGAGAGTTAAAAAGGGTTTCACACCCTTATAAAGAATGTTTTGTTCCCTTCTCCAACCAAGGTGGGATCTCACAATACACAAAAAACCAAAGTGTTTTGGAACCACAAATAAGGGCAAAGGGGATAAAATTTGAGGCCAAACAAACGGCATTGTGCAGAACCCCACAGGAAAGAATGGCAGACAGCAACAAAAGATGGACACTGTTCATGAGTACAATATTCTTTAAGAAAACATGTATGTAAGGAGTCAAATTCCAAAGAGGGAAATAAATACAAATCGCCTAATCATAACTGCAAAGGGTAAAATTAAGAACAGTGGAAATCAATTCAAAAAGAAGCTTTCCAAAACAAAATCCAGTCCAGTCCACATTAACTCAACATAAATTCAAGCAATCTCCAGAGGGAAAGTGAAAAACAAACAAGAACACGTCTCAAGAGTTAAGGATCAATCAACTACAAAAACCTGGCGTCCAAAGAAAGGCATATCCATATCCATCAGCAAACGAGCAAATACATGGATTAAAAACAAAACCCAGATCAAGAAAAAAAGGCAACAAAACGATTACAAAAGTAAAATTAGGCCCAGATATCGAAAACCCACAATGAACAAACCTTATAGAAGCCCGAAAATGGGGTAATGGTAGATTGGATGGAGAAATGTGGGATGATGAAGGAAATGAGAAAGAGGGAGCAAGGGTTTAATGGGTCAGAGAAGAGAAGTTAGAGGAAAATGGGATGAAAGGATTGAAAGGGGGGGTGCAAGATTTGGCGGCCAAAAAACAGAGAGGAAGCATGAGGTGAAAGCATGTTAGATGAGAGAGTGAGGCTGTCTGTTTTGTTGCTACTCAAGATTTTTCTTCGGTTTTACATCATTTGGTTTCTCCCCTTTCGTTTTCTTTTTAGATATAACAAAAACGACAGACGAGAGTGGGAAGGGGAGGGCGGTTTCTCTTTTAGCGGCTGTACAGAGAAAGAGAGAGAGGCGCGTGGAAGCGCGTGTACTTATCTCTGGTAATGGGTCGCGTGGGGATTGAGCGGGCCTTCGCCTTGTGTTTCACTCCAGACCTGTTTTCCAAGCCATCTATACCTTTTTTATATATATACATATTTTTTTTTTTAAATTTTATTTTATAGATTGTATACTCAGTTTAAATGAAAAAAAAAAACCTTTAAATTTTGTACTAAAAAAAAAGTATTTGACATATTACTTTTCTAAAAAAAACAGATAAAAATTAGAATATTAAAAAGATAATTTACTTTAAAATAGTTTAAGGGTGACGTCATTAATTAATATTTTTAGGCGTGAAATACATCATTAATTATTTAAATATATTAATCTAAATACACCATAGAGTTTCCATCTTTATTTCATGACTAAAATATAGTCAATTAAATTTATGAAATAAAATATAATTATTAAGACAAAAAATAATAATAATTTAATTTTGAGTGACTACTCATCTAAAATAAAATAAAATTACAACCCAATTTCGTGGATATATATGTCACAAGCATCAAATAGGTAGCGTAGAAATTAAGAATCCGTCAAAAAAAATTGTTAAGATAATTATTTAACAAAAAAAAAAAAATATTTATTGGAATATATACTTTCCCGAATAAAAGAGCATCGTGTTCTTTAGAATAAAACGTTTTCTTTTCTACGTATTTGATTTCCGTGGCTCCCTCCCGCTTACCCTTGTTCTTACTTGAAAAATAAAACATTATGGAAAGGGTCGGTTAGGGTTGAAAAATGCAAACACATACCTCTCTATTGGTTATATTGTCCGATTGTGATCTATCACCAATAAAATGTAGAGGAGTCATATTTCTAAGTTTGCAGAGAACATAGCTATTGATCATATCGTTTGTTAGAGAGAGGTTTCGTTCTTCTCTCTAACCGGTGTAGGACCTCGTTGCTGCTTTGATTAATAAAAGATAAAGAAACCTATTCTTGTTTTTTTTTAAAAAGAGGTCAAACTCTCAAATATTTGTCATGATCACGAGTCACTCGAATGTGTATAGTACTCCTAGCTATCCATGTCGTAGTCGGTTTTGGTTTTTTCATCTAAAAAATGTCCAAACTCGAGTCGACTTAATACACGGACATTGTTTAAGATTTATGTGTTGTTTTGTTTGAATGGTAAGATGAAAGGAAAAGAAGACAAACAAAATGCCAAAAATGTGTCCTAATCATGGAAATTCAGAATATAAGTTACCAAAATAGGGAATCCTTCAGTTGGCTGCTGGCATGAGGGTAGAAATATGTGGTAAAAGGTGAGTGAAGAAGTACAGTAAAAAAGTAAAAGAGAGAGCAGTGAATCACATGGGTTAAAGTAATTACAATCACCAATGACACTGGAATTACAATCAACTTTTCGAACCGATCGAGTCCTCCCACAAATAAATTCTTCTGTTGGATTTAATTTTTTAAAAAATAAAATTTTAATTGAGTCAATTCTTTTAATTCTTTTTTAAATATTAGTTATCAATGTACACAAATATGTTTTTTAAAATAATTAAAATGTAGTTTTAGTGTTTAGTTTACTTTTTTTTTTTTTTTAATTTGGTCTCGGAAGTTTTTTGTTTTTGTAAACTACAATTTTTTTACAATTTGAATTAATTTCCATTTCATTTTTTGAGTTTTTAAAATTCTAACATTTTAATTTTAGATTATGTAGGGTAGTTCAAAGTGTCAAAATACCTGAGAGTTAAATTTGATTTTTAATTATTCTCTCAGTAACTAAATTAAAAAAAAAACATATTAGTAAAATATAATTATTACAAGTTAACAACAACGTTGTCATATGTCAATATTAAAAAAAAAAATTAATTAATAAAAATATTTCTAAAACCCTAAACCCTAAACCCTCAAAATTTTACTAATATCTTTAAATTTAAAAAAAAAACTTAAAAAACGTTAATTGTCTGATAAGAATGGTTGGTATTCTATTTCAAATAACCCATAGAACAATTTTTTTTTTAAATCATTAATACTAATTTTTTTTTTTAAGTTATGAAATTTTGAAGATAATATTAACACCCTCTACTATATAAAAAAAAAATTCATAGATTATTTTTAAACACTGTTTCTCAAGTTTCTAAAAGCCGTTGAGATGTATATGCAGTTGCACAACAACAGCAACGATCTCACTACCTGCTACTCATTTGGCTATCGACACGTATTTCTGATATGATTGTCGTTGCGATCCATCAATTACGTGGATTATGGTATGTTTTACTAGTTCAACAATTGGATCTCTGAGGAAAACTATCGCCAATCTAGAATTTTTTCAGCGGTTACTTATTACTCCGCCTATTCAAAGAATCATCGATTTCTAGTCGACAGACAATTTCGATCTTGCGAACTCGCAAGCCACTACATAGGCTTATATGTTGACATATTTTTGGTTTGAATTCAATTCCAAATGATTTTGATCGTTCATGGAAGTTGGGAACAACTCCATCTCCTTTTTGTTTTGAAGGAATTTCGTTATTTAATAATTGCATGCAAAATCAAAGGTAAATATTTAAATTTTGAAATCATGAGATTAGAACACTTGATTCAAATAAATTACCCTTAAATTAATAAAAATTGAAAGAATCAGAGTTTGAACAAAATGAAAGGAATGGCGAAATTGTTCTCCTGAATCTCTCGAAGTTTCATTCCAGAAACCCTTCAATCCAATGGCGGGGGAAAACAAAAATATCTATGATGATGATGAACAATGAACAATGATAATGAAATCCTCAACTGGGGTTAGAGAATTTACCTTTCCATGTCCGGAGATCCTCTGAAAACCTTGATGTTCTCCAATGGCGGAATATCATCGCCCATCCTCGTCTTCCTATGGATCACCAGACCACACAAAAACCCCGAACGCTTGGACGCCTTCAGGGTTTTGGCTTCCCCTGCCTCCGCCTCTGCCTCCGCCGCTTTCCTAAATCCGTTCAAATCACTAACCAAATTCGATTTCGCCGACGACGATGAAGAAGAAGAACACGTCGATTCATTCCCATCCGACGAATCCAGCAACTCTGCATCATGAGATCCGGCGGAAATTTCAGAATCCCTAGCCTTAGATTTCTTCTTCCTCCTCCGCCGCCGATCAAAACCCTCCCCCATCAAATCGCGGTAACCAATCGCAGGCACTCCATTCAAGGAAGCGAAATCGGAGTTTTCATTAACCATAACGCCGATATTGAGAACGCCTTGGAAGCGTCCAGAAGGACGACGGACTTGGAGGGCAGTGAACGCAGGGGTCTTGGTACAGTCATTAGAAACGATGACGTTACGGAAAAGGAAACGGACAGTACCGACAAGAGAATCACGGAAACAGCCTGTGGCGTAGATCTCGACGGAGACAGCGGCGGTATCGCGGGTAAGAAACTCCGGCGAGACGCGGAAGAGAAACTTGTCGTTCCAGGTGGGGTTGTCGCCGCCAATGGTGTCGAGACGGGTGCGGAGGCGGTTCAATGGGTCGACCCATGCGACGGCGTAGGTCTGTTTGGGATGAAATTGGTGGGAGGGGACCTTGAGACCTTGGGCAGAGATGAGGTTGATCTCCAAGACGGGCATGTGGGTGGCCGGAAGAATCCAGTCTCCGGCAACCTCCATGGGTGAAGATGAGAGAGAGAGAGAGAGAGAGAGAGAGATGGAAAGGGAGAGTATTAATGGAGCTCAAGAACGGAGGACATTGCGGCAGGCAAGGAGAGGTGCCAGCGGAGAAAGAGGAGGGGAATTTTAGAACGAAGCAGCTCTGGTTTGGTCTCAAATGGCCGGATGTAAGCTCCGCATTGTTGGCTTAAGAAAAAACCACTTTTGCTCCCATAAAACCGGTTCGAACCAGCTAAATGAACCAGACCGCATGGAGAAATGAACCAGACTGAATCGAACCGACTCGCTCGTACACTTTTAAATTTTAAATAGTTGTGGATTAAATTCGTAATTTAATTTAAATTAACTTAGAGAGCAAATTCCATCCTTTTCTTGGTTGTGTAATTAATAATGATTAATATATTTATTATTTGTTGAATTGTATGAAAATAATTTTTCTGCTATTTATTAGTTGGTTCTCTACAAATAGAAGCCCTACGAGGGGAGATGAGAGAGTTCCAAGCCAACAATGTCGACATCAGCGGAGAAAGAAGTGTTGAAATACTCGAGTTAGATAAATATCTAATGCACTCTTTATTTGGAAGTCATTTTCTTGACTTGATCTCGAAGTATTGTTCATGTCGACCCATTTTCAAGAATTTGATTTTAATCTCCATACAAATATTGCTGTCATATGATCATGTTTATTTGATTATACTATGGTGCTTAGTATAGATTATTGTATAAATCATGACTAACGTTATATAGACAATGTCTATCGTTAGTTGTGGTCTATGGTTAAATAGACTATAAGTGACGTTATTTGTGGTTCTACATTGTAGGCCAGGGCTAACATTATGTATTGTTTATATTACCATGATTGATGTTAATACTAGTTTATTTAATATAACATAATTGATATTAACTGTGATTTATAATTTAGACCGTCAGTGTCACAACCATATTATGAAGAGAATAGGTTGTGAACCTCGAGTGCAGTCATGATAACGTGGCGCCTAACTAACCATGTGAGGGCGAGACAAGACAGTGTTGTGATGCAACCAAGGAGAACTATTCAAGTACGTATCCAATCGTCCTAGGCTGTCATACTGAATCTAACCACTGAGGGTTTGGTTTTACTGGCATGCATGTCTTTCCAAGTGATCCCTTCAAGTATTATTTCTTAGAATCCATGTGTTACTTACATGGATGACACGCACCCATGTGTTACTTACATGGATGACACGCACCCATGTGTTACTTACATGGATGACACGCACCCATGTGTTACTTACATGGATGACACGTCCCCATGTGTTACTTACATGGATGACACGTCCCCATGTGTTACTTACATGGATGACACGTACCCTCTCAAGCTAGGTTTTTTTTGCATGTTACGGAGGTCCAAAATTTCAAAAATTTATCTGGTAGGTCCTAATTCAAGTAAAATTAAG